ATATATGAATCTCTTGGAACATTTGATAAATTGATTAACTGACAGTCAGGTGAAACTAGAACTTGACTAACGAAGGAGGGGCCACGGTGGATGTCCCAGGCCAGAGTGGGGGCAATATAACTATGTGTGCTGCCATTTCTGAGAATGGTGTGGCCACTCACATCCCCAGTCTTGGCCCATACAATACACAGAAGCTCCTCATCTTCTTGGACCGCCTTTATTCTGATTTGATCCCTGAAAATGAGAGAGGTCTCATAGGGCCTCACCTACCAAACTATGTCATTGTGTGGGACAATGTGAATTTCCACCGTGGCCCGCTCATCAGGGCCTGGTTCACTACTCATCCAAGGATGGTCATGGTGTTCCTACGACCTTACTCCCCTTTCCTCAGTCCTATTGAGGAGTTTTTCTCCGCTTGGAGGTGGAGAGTGTATGAGCATCAGGCTCAAAATCAGAGGTCCCTGCTCCATGCAATGGATGCTGCGTGTGAAGATATTATAGGAGATCAGTGTAGGGGATGGTTGCGACATGCACGCTGTTTCTTCCCTTGTTGCATCGCAAGGGAGAATATACGCTGTGATGTGGACAAGAATCTGTGGCCAGACAGACAGCAGCGTGTGGATGGCCAGGAGGGTGAGGACAGCGACCAGTGAAGAAGTGTTAGTTGTGAAACTCCAGCTTTATTTACAGCACTGTAGGCTACATATAATTTTCCTTGTTTTTTGTTTATGTGTTTATATTACAGTATATTATGCTGTATACATTTTCTTTTTACTCTGATGTATGGAAGTTACTTTATGTGTGTGAATACAAATGGTTACAATTTCCTTGGCAGTATGAGTGCAATGTGGCATGTCAAACCTTGGAGGCTACTCTTACCGTAAAATCCTATTTATTTTTTTTTTTCAGTTTTATACACAATTGTATTCTGTTAGCTAGACCAAAAAAAAACTAGCACAGTAACCATTGTCAATGAAGACCTGGGCTAAGACTGAGAGGTAGATATGAGGGATATTTCAATGGTCCTCTGCCATAGTGACAAAACATCTAAACATTTTGACTTGCAGTGCTTAGACGATGCCAAAGGGACGATGCATTTTGGGGGCACTGACTATTTATATGAGAAAGGAATTTAGTTTTGACAGATGAGTAAACTGTTTTGAGTGAGATATGAGCTTTTGCAGGTGAACCATGGTGTTGTGCTGAACCATCCAGGTTATTTTGGCAAAAGCACCAAGAGTGTTGAGAATGTCTGGTCTGTTTTAAGAAATGAGCCAAAGCAATTGAGAAAGGATCTTTGCAGTTTGGTGGCACTGACTATTTATATGGGAAAGGAATTTAGTTTTGAAGCATGAGTGAGCAGTTTTGGGAGAGATATGAGCTTTTGCAAGTGAGCTATGGTGTTGTGCTGAATTGTAAGACTGTTTTGCCAAATGATCTTACAGTTTTGAGAATGTAATTTCTGAGCCAAACCAATGGAGAAAAGTACTGTAAATTAACTGTATTACTTTGGTAGGAAATGGGGATTTTTATACCTGTGCTTTTATCACAGCTGTAGTTATTGGTTAACTTGGAGAGTGCTGGAAACACTGTGAGAGTTATGTTCTTTGACTTCTCCAGTGCCTTCAAGAGCATTCAACCCAACCTCCTGAGAGACAAGCTGCTGGACATGCGACTTCACCCGGACATCACTGCCTGGATTACCTCACGGGCTGGCCGCAGTACGTCAGGGTGGATGGCTGCGTATCTGAGGTGGTGTCAAGTAACACCGGGGTGCCCCAAGGAACTGTTCTGGCACCATTCTTCTTCACCCTCTACACCTCTGATTTCCGGTTCAATTCTGGTTCCTGCCACCTCCAAAAGTTTTCTGACAACTCCTCTATAGTTGGATGCATCAGCAATTATGATGAGGAGGAGTACTGAAACCACCTTCAATTCAACATCAGCAAGACTAAGGAAGTGGTGGTGGACTACTGGAGGAACCGGAGGCAATCTGCCCCAGTCACCATCCAGGGCAAGGAGGTGGAGATGGTGGACTCGTACAAGTACCTTGGCGTCAAGGTATGCTGCTGGGCGCCGTTAAACCACAATGGCGACCGGCACATATCATGCCGACATTAAAGGATGGCTTTTTCGTCAGTGACTGATGCCATAAGCGCCCAATTTCGATGATTTCAAAGTGAGACCGGGTCGGCAGCTCCAGTTTTCAGCAATGTTATATCATTGTTTTTCTCAATAGAATCTGGCTTTGAGGAGAGGGATATAATATAATGTCTTCATTTTTCTTTTGTAAATCACTGTATGACAGAAAGGTGAAGTCATGAAAAATATTCTGAATATAGCGTACTCTTAAACTGATACTGATTCTTCTGAGAAACTGAGGGCATGCTAACTTACTTGCTTACTGTCTTTGGATAAGTACCCCATACAACTCCACTACAAAAACATCTGAACTATCTCTTCATGGATTGCACGTATGCCATCAATGTGACCGTCAGCAGACTTATATGCTGTTGTACTGAATATCAGCACTGCTGTGATTATCTTCAGCCCTCAGCCTGTGGCCACGTGCCTACCACTGAATCACAGCTGTGCCGATACTTAAATGACATTAACTTTATAGATGTGACTGTAATGTT